AATCACAAGAGTATGTGGCCTTTATCTTCCTTCTGTAAGGGTTGGGAGGGCCCGCTGGGCGGACTGGCATTGACACTGGGGGTGGTGCCCATCTGTTCTCTCTGGTAGGGCACAGTAGGTGGTGCAGGCTTGGCCCCTGAAAGGCAGGTACTAGCAGGTGAGTAGGAGCCAGGCAGGGAACAGCAGGTTGTGGCAGGTATAACTAGGGCGAGGAGAGGAGATAGAAGGCAGGGGGGAGGAGACCAGGAGCACTAGGGCACCGCTGGCCCGCTGGCAGCTGGAAGAACCATTGTCATGGAGATGGGTGCCAAGTCCCCACAACTGCTAATTAACCACATCAGGCACAGTACCAGAAAGTCCAGAGTTGACACAGCCACGGAGTCAAGAACAGTCGCACAAATTCCCACTTCACATAACCCCTATTCCTGATGCCTGCATCAAAAGCATTTTATCCCCAAGGGCACACTGACCCCAGAAAAGGAGGGGTATAGACACAGTCAATGTAAGCAGATCCAGGTTATGACTGGGGAGTGGCACCAAGTTTCAGATGGGTTGAGGTTCCTTGGATGCTCCACCCCTGTTTACTGGGCACGGACCAGGGCCAGGTGGGGGCAGGAATGCTGAAGACTGGGAGTGGTGGAATTGAATAGGCTGTGTACTACACATGTGCTCAGATGTGTTCATAGAAATTGAGACTTGTACACCCATCTGTGTATTTGGAGAGGGAACAGTAAAGAGAAGACAGCATAATTTTGGCTAAGCAGCACGGGCTGTGAGGCTCTTTATTGGCCATCCTAGCACCCCTAGGTCAAAAGGGGAACTGGTAAGGAGCTCCCCCAGGAATCATTTTACAAACCGAATGGGAAGAGGGAGGGCTTCTCTCCCAGCACATGCCACAGTTACCAGATTAAGCTGGTTGCCTTGGTAACCTCCTCTCTGGGCAGGATTTGGGATTGTCTGTTAGGAAGGGCAAAGAATTGGGAAGGAGTGTGAAGGGTGTCGGGTGTGGAAACAAAAGGGGCAGAGCTTTCTGGAAAATTCAAGTGTGAGGAGCAGGACCCCAACATCCCTCTAACTACTCAAAACTAGCCAGCAGAGTAGGTTCAAGACCTTGAATCAGGTCCTCTTTGATAAACTGATTCTCACCTGAGCACATGATGTAATCACAGAGTTTTCTGAAGATACTAATACCCAGGCCATACACCAGAAAAATATAATCAGACCTCTGAGATGGCATCAGCGTATATTTTAAAATGGCTTTGCAGGTGACTATGGGTTTTTTAAACTAAAAAAAAAATACCAAATTTTTATTTTCTCATAGTTTAAGATTCTACAAGTCAAATTCAGGATGCTGGCTCCAGGTCTCTGCTAACTCTGAATTCCTGAGCTTCTACTCTTGATTGCTCGTATAGCTTGGCATCTCTTTTCTCCACATCTCTATAGCTTTTGCTTGTTTATCTAAAAAAAAAAAACCCCAAAAAAACCAACCCCACACCACCAAAACCACCCACCCAAAAACTCAAGTGTACCCTACACTAACTCCCACGGTAATTCTAGTAGTCAAGGTTTAGGATCACTACTGTCTTACTACCCAATTCAAGTGGTCTGCTGATGCTAGGAGACAACTGTGGCATGAACTCAGTCCATTCTAAGTACTGACATAGCCAGCTTGCATTCTGAACGTGAGGGGGAAGTGTTGGCTGGCATGTGCACTATATATATTAAGAATAAAAAAAAGGTTGTGTGACGGACTATGACAAGATGGGGACAAAATGTTTTAACTTGGATCCCAATCATGGACTTCCAGATTAGGAGACTGCAAGGATATTGAAGACTGATCTGTCACTGCCCCTTAGCCTCCCCTTCTTTCTGCCCACTGGGAGACAGGCTGGGAGGGCAGAGAGAACCTAGGGGCTTTGCTGAGCTTGAGTTTCTTCTTGCTGAGCTGGTTACCAGGGCAACAGAGAGAGCAAAGGGATCTAACTGCAGGACTGGAAAAGCAAGAGGCAGGGGTGAGGGGGAAGCATCTCTTATACTTTCACTCCTGCCAGTAACCCACCCCCAAGGTTGGCTGCCATTCTTTGCATGACCCCAGGAGGCCAGGCCCAGTCACTCATCACCCTGTGGGGGAGAAGTATTAGTAACCTCACAGAAATGAAAAGAATTAGGAATAGAGGTCAAGAGATGGTCCTCCAGTTCACCAGCAGCAGGGGTATATAGGGAAAAGCAGGTCTTAAGATGGATCATAATGCCCATGACCTCAATGAGAGAATCCTGGGACTGAAGAGCAGGTGCTCCCAACTCCATATTAAATTCAACTGCCCTCCCACATCAGAGGATAGCCCTTGAAGTAAAACCTTCACCCCGTCCAAGGGCCTGAAGGCAGAGCCAGTCAATTCAAACAGAACACTGCCCTGCTGAGGTGGGGGAGTGGGCACAAAAAGCCTGGTAAACAGCAACATGAGTCATACTCTTTCCTCAAAGAACACAAACTCATTGCTGTTAAGGCAAAATTGACCCATGATTGAGCCTCCATGACTATATATTGTATGGCCCATCATTCTCCCAAGGAGTCTATAGGGGATTGCAAGAGGAATGGTTTTTGGGTTCACAGCACAGCTCCTTACAGAGTACACCATCAGAGCTTACTCTTACCAGGTACCATTCAAATCCACCAGCCTCTGTGTGAGAAAGATGGGCGTCTCTTTCTGGAAAGATTTACAGCCACAGAAGCCCAATGGAGGATCCCCGAGTTGGAATTAGTTCAACAGGTTGACTGTGGTGGAGATCAAGAGGTGCAGGACAGGGCAGTTTTAATCTGTTGTTCAGTGTCGCTATGAACGGTCTATCAACTCAATAGCACCTAACAAGAAAATAGGAACTTTTTCCCTAGACTGCAGTCTTTGGTGTTTCAGTACCAGATTATTTTTACCTTTCAGAGTGAAAACATGGTTATTTGTAACTCTCATACTAAGACCTGGTACAGTTTAGTGGTGCATTAACCTGGAAAATTTACTTGCCAAACACACAGGGAGGAGGCCAAAGGTACACTTGAAGTTCTTATGAGTGAGCTGTATTTCACTGGTTCTGTACGTTTGACATCCCAGTCTAAAAATCTCCCTTCCTGGTGTGATTAGGAAAGACTAATTAGGGGCATACACTCACTTTCCTACTGGGCCCTCACCTCTCTGGACTTCCATCCACAAGTCTGAGGTGAACTGTGTTAAGCTGTGACTGATTCTATGGGGCAATTAGGAAGTCCCCATCTTTCCTTTCCTCCCAAAGCAAGACCCACTGAGAAAGGAGTTAAGTTTATAGTCTAAATTTTATTTTTCTCTAAGTCACAATGCTGATCACAAAAGTGCACCCTTTAAAACAGTAACAAAACTAATAACAACAAAACAACACATGTGGAGAAATCCTTGCAACTAAATATAGGGGACTGAAAGAGACAACTGTCACAGTGTCTTAAGGTCTGGGAATCTGGGCATGCTGCCCACAGGCTTGAGGAGACATCTTCAGGTTTAAGGCAAAGGGAACACCCTACAAAAGGCACAACCACTAGTTACCCCCAGAAGGACCTTAATGTTTTGTGGGCTTCTTCCTTCCTTGGGGGTTACAGAGCGAGTGCCTCTCTTCCTCCACACCCACACCTGTGACTCCAAATGGTTAGGCCAGTTGCTCAGCAGAGGGAATAAAAACAGTGACGGGGGATAGACACAGATGCCACCGTCTCCTTTAGGTTGTGGAGCAGGACAGGGACAGCAGCCAAGTTACCCCTGGCAGACAGCAGTGCTGCAGTAATGGGAATCTCTTTTGCAGAGGCAGCAGGGTGGTTGACATCTATGGGCAGGGAGGAAGGGGAAGAGCCCCTGCCCAATGGGTTATTGGCTTCCTTGTGCCTTAAGTCCAGGTGTGGTACCTATTTCTGTTTACAAGGACAGGCGTAGCTTATGAGGGGAAATAAGATATTATCTAAAATACTTGTAGCAGGAGAGACATGGAGAGATACAACTGCAAAGCAGAGGAGTGAATGCTGGATAATACTTGTTTCTACAGAGACACATTGGTCCACAGCAACTAAAGAGGACAAAGAGGAGGGATGGAAAGAAGAGGAGGACTCTATTTCCACTTACTTCACAGACCGACCCCTGAAGACTATGAGAATACACATCCCTAAGGTGCAGAAGGCTCAATCCATCCTCCCTTTCTCTCAAAAAGCATGTGGTTTACTCTCTCTCTCCACAGGAGAATGCGTCCTCAAATAGTGGGCTGAGAATACTAGTACACAGGGACTGACAGAAGCTTAGAAAGCAGAGCTCCTCCTGATCTACTCTGCACTTTCTCCACTGAGTGACACTCTGAGCAGACAGCTACACTTCCAATGGGTTTAGAGTAGTTCACAGAACCCAAGAACAGGAGAACAATAAAGGCCAATCAAAGCTGAAAGGCCAGCTCTTTGAAGATGTGGTGGTTGAAGGATAGCTGCCAAAGTCTCAATTATCAAAGATGTAGGAAAGTGCCAAAAGGGAATCTAGAGGAGTCAGAAAACCAACAGTACAAACTTGTTTCACTTACAGACAGACAAAGCAATAAGTAGAGAGAAAGGCATAAAAACAATAAAAATCCTAGAAAACAACCAACCCACCCTAAAATAATAGTTCGTTAAGACTAACAGGCCAAGCTTTAAATGAACATTCTTACATAACAACAGAAATTAGCTTCCAAAGGAACAAAGAAAACTTGAATTTCCTGGAAGAAAGCAAAGAAGAGCAAACGATGGGAGCTTCTACTTCTAGACTCAGAAGCTCAAGCTGTCTGCATCTCTCTTCTCCTTAAGCTCAGCCAATCCAAGTTAAAGAATGGAAGTGGAAGGGTGTCGTCTTGCATCTCCCTCCTTCCAACAGAGCCTGAACTCAGAGGAAGGCAGGAGTCCTCCTCCTTCAGCTGCTTGTTTTTAATTTTTATTTCATACTGGTTTACATCAGCTGCTTGTCGACAGGAGGCACCCTGTATCTTTGAAGCCCTCCTGGTAGTAAAGAGCCAGTTTCTTTTTTCTTCTCTCTTGAGTTCTCACCTCTGTAGTTCTGAGAGAGGTAAGGGTAGAAACATAAAAACATTAGTGGACCTTTTGGAATTTAAATTGTTTTCAGAAAACCACATTTCTGGAGCTTTGCCTTAATGTCTATTTTTGGTTAAAAAAATTTCAGACTTTCTCCTCTATGATCTTTAGAAATGGCTCTGCTAAAATACTTCAACTTCATATGCTCCATTCTTTGATCAAGTTAGACACCTTGCATTTTTTCCTTGCAGGATCCCAAACGAAATTCTACCAAGTTAACAGCAGTTTCTACTTCAACCTTGCACACTGCAAAAAGAAACTCGCAAATTTCAGGTCTCCCTGAAGCCTCTCCTGAGACTTCTCTGTTACAACTTAACCCAAATGGGGAGATTCTGCTTACTTGTTAAGCAAGTATAACTATTAGTGTTAAGATTGTAATGAGAGTCATATTAAGTTCTATACTTACTTTTATACGATGTTAGATTTAAAATGTGATAAACTCAAATTAACTGGAACCCCTGCTTACAATCTGAAATAATAAAATTAGAATATATAATCAGGCCACACACAAGACTATTTTCTACAGAAACACAAGCAGAAGAGGAAAGAAATCCTCTGTAAAAAGAAAAGCCCATGTTTATCTATGTTTATTGCTGTGCTGTTCATAAAATAAAAGCAAAGAGATGGAAATAACCCAAGTATTCATTAACAAATTAGTTGGCTAGAGAAGCTGTGGTATATTCACACAATGGAATACTGCGCAGCACTGAAAAACAAGGGAATCATGAAATATACAATATGGGTGACCCTGGGGGTCATGATGCTGAGTGAAATATCTCAGTCACAAAGTACAAACACTGCATAATGCACTGTTAAAAAAGAGGACTGACATGAGGGTTGGGAGAAATCTAAGAAAAGAGGGCATAAATAATATACACTGCATTGAAACAGATACAGGAAAGAACTGTTTAAAAGTAATATATGGTTAGTGTTAGCTGCATGACAACAGTCTAGTATAAGAAATGCATAGCAAATTGGCCTTGGGGAAAATTGTGCAACAATGAAAGAATTTTTTTTCAAAGAGAAAAGCGAACTGGGGGGAATGGGCAGGGAGGAAAATGTGCAACAATGAATGAATGGAACTCCAAGTTCTCTATAAGCTTTCATTAAAATATCAATTTAAAAAAAAAGGAAAGGAAAGCCTGCTCATGTAGGATGTACCTTAAGTTTGGCTCTCATACCTCAGGTGGGGGGGGCTTGATGGTGACAGGCTGAGAAGTCCTCCGGGGTGGGGAGGGCTTTGGCTGTACCTGCTGCTGGGCAGGGTTATAGTAGGTCACACCTCCATACACCTGTGATGGGGCCTGGAATCCCACAAGTCAGGAGAAAAAGTGAAGAACTAATCATTTCAAAATATGATGAATAGGAAACATTATTTACTCATAAAAAGGATAGTACCTGAGTATAATTTTAGTTTCTAAGTTGTACCCTTTTAAGAAAAAAATGATTATTCATTCTATCTTATCATTCTGATTATACTTCTTCTAAGTACTGCTCAACTTTCTCAAATTCCTACCATCAACTGACAAAAGAGAAAAGACTGAGCCCAGGGGTGACACCCAAGATATTAGGGCTCAACATGCTGAGAGTTAATGAGGACAGAAGTAGGGCTGGCAGGAACTAAAATACAGCTTCTGTATGCAGTTGGAATAAATAGTATATATAGTCACCTTTGATGAACAAACACTTGAATAAAATACCAATTAAAAAAGTAAAAAGATAATGAACATTATTATGTAAGTTGTATTTCCAGCTCCTGACCACCAAGAGGTGTCCTGATGATACATGCAAATCAATGGCAGTGAAATGTTCTCTGACATTTCTTTAGCATTCTCTCTATATTATGTAATTTAAGGACTATGTACTTAAGAGAGATGTGTTCATCAGCCAACTCACCTGTGTATTAGGATACAGATGAGGAGGTGGCGGGGGAGGCAGTGCCCCAGCAGCATAAGGGTAACTGGGACTACCGAAGTTCATGACGCCTGGAGCAGAAAAATAAGTGGGAGCAAGCAACTGCTGGGGTGGTGGCTGTCCTGGAGACATGGATACTGGTTGAGGATAGAGGCCTGGGTTGGGCAGCGGTGCTGGTGTCTGGTGGGGATGTAAACCTAGACAAGCGGAAGACAAAATGTGAAAGAAATGATAACATCATCTGCCGAAGATGGCCGAACTGGACTGTTTAGTACTGACAGGCTCAGAATGGTCCCCAGAGGAGTTTCTGTTGCCCAAATATCCAGCCTCTTAGACAAGGAGTGTGAAGTACAGGAAGATAAAATATACGAGGCTCTCAACACACATCCTCACATACCGAACCATACAAGCAGTAGGACAGTTATTACCTGGGTGGGGAAGATGCATTTCTGGTTGCACAATCATGCCCTGAGGAGGCAGTGAGGCAGGGTTTTCACCATGAGTATAGATTGGTCCCTGGAACTGCACTGTAAGATATTACAATAGGGCTTTCAGAAATCTTCACTCTTTTTTTTTTTTAAGAAGTCTTCATTCTTCAAGTCACATGAACAAGACTCTTTGTCCACCAAATTCTTTAAAATAAGTTTTCTAAGTGAAGAAAACATCAACCAGATAATGTTTGCTAAGCACTATGAGAAGTTAGAAGGGAAATTAAGGAGGCTAGAGGTTGCTCTCTTAGTTACGAAATGACAACCAAAGTAAAAATTAACACATAGGTAAGTTGGGAGAAGATGAAACAAAGGGTCATTAACTGCAATCCATTGTCATCTAGTCAGAAACTCCTCACGGCTGACTCTCCACGTTTTCAGAAATGGTAAACTGCACAGGAAGAGACTGTCCATCTTTCTCCCAAGATCTGAACTGGCAGAGAGGCACTGCCTTTGCAGCATAACTCTCTAACTCTGCCACTTAATCACTGAAAATTAGTATTATAAAACAAATGTCTATAAATGATTCAAACTAGTATGATTTGTAAACCTTCACTCAAATAAAAATTACTTTAAAAAAACCCCAAATATAAAAAATATAGTAAATGGAGATTTTAATAAAAGGTACCCCAACAATAAGAAGATAACTCACATGGATCATAGTAATGCCCCTCCATGATACTGATATGCACAGGGGGAGCAGGGGGTTCTGGCACCGGTCTTTGCCTCTGGGATGAATAGCGTTTGGCTCGACCACCCTGGACACCCTAAGATAATGATAAAAGACCTAAGTAAGGTTTCATGCTAAGTCCTCTGTTGTTAGGTGCCAATGAGTCGACTATGACTCAGTAGCAATACTATGAAATCCCTGGCCTATACTAAGCCATTCTCAGGCCTACTATGGCTGTCCAATTATTAATGGATGTTTATAGCTATTCTCATTTTTAGTCTTGCCACACTAGCAAATAACTCTATACAAGTTGTTAAAGTACACTCCATTTTAAAGAGGTGGCTCTTCCCTAATCACGTTTTTTTTTAATTTTATTATTTTTGTGTGCATGTACCGTCAAATCAGATCTGACTGGTACAGGAGGCCTAATCACATTTTGTGTGCCTTCCCACCTGAGGGGCTCATCTTCTGGCACTATACTGGGTAGCATTCTGCTGCTATTTGTGTAAGGTTTTTGAGGGCCTATTTATCAGAAATGGAAGACCAATGCTGCTTTTCAGTCTACTGAAACCCATCCACCAGGGATGACCCTGCTCTGAAACACCTATGACATAGTGTCCAGCATCCAGGAACATCTAAGTCACCACAGTACAGCAAACTGACAAACTTACACGACTGATTTTATTTTATTTTTACGTGACTGATTTTAAATAAGTATTTGTAAAGTGAATTGGGGGAAAAAAGAAATCAACAAAATACTAAGATTTGTTAATCTGACACTTACCATTCTATGCTGCATTTCTGAGAAACAAGTCAAAAGATAGGTAATCAATGGAAAGACTGAAAGATCTTATCTTAGGCTAGAATGGAGAAGGATAATATGCAGTTCTATCAACCCTCTTTTCCTGTTCCATACCATTTCTTCAATCCGGTTAAACTGAGGTGGTGGTCCTGCTCCCATGTGGATGTGGTTGGGCATACCTGTAATACACCAAAAACATCACTACTGAAAAGGAAACAGACATGAATGGGACTCAAACATGTCATGCCAAGAAATCCAACATGGAGAATATCTTTCTCCTTTTTCTAATTTTATTGTTATCATTTATTGTGTGTACCGTCAAATCAGATCTGACTGGTACAGAAGGAGATCGTCCCTCCTTCTCTAGCAGAGGATCTGGTGGATTTGAACTGCATGCCTCTGGGATTTCAGTCCAGGTTCCTGGTCGTTCTCCTTATTAACTATCATATTCCTTGTGAACTATCTGCTTTCTGTCAACATTAGCATTTGGATATTGTCCTCACAGCCCTCCTCCTTAACAGAGCAATAAAGTCCCTGAATAGTCAGAATTAGAAAGAAAATGCCTTCAGGAAAAACATCCATAGCTGGCACACATAGTATTAAACACACTGAAAAATCTCAGCCCCAGAGTTTCTAAGCAACAACTGAGCAAGGCAGTGATGGACTATAAATCTACGTGACTCCATCTTATGCACAGAGGTGTGGCCTGAAATTTGGGAAAAGATGCCCATTTGACCAAATAGGACTTAGTACAAAAATGAATGTTCTCAAGATTGTCATCCTATGGTGTTATCAGTAGGAAGTGAAATTAACACCGGGGTCCAGTTCTGGCTACAATGATTCTGGGTGATTCAAAAACAACTCAGAAAAGAATGTGGAAATTCCCAGTCTAAATTTTTAAGAAATTCTTTGACTTAGACTTCTGAAACTATGGAAACTATCCCTCAACCTAAGCTGGTTGGAAGAAAAGAAAACATAATTACTAAAAGGGATGCTAGGAGGGAGCTCTGGTGGCCTAATGGCAAAGAATCTGCACTGCAATTTCGAAGGTGTGTACCAGATGATCTACAGGAGAAGAGGCACTCTCCTCCTGTGCTGGTTGGATTTGATTTGATGGTACACAAAAAGATAAATTTTTTTAAAGGGATACAGGGAGGGAGCTTTGGTGGTCTAGTGGCAAGAAGCTGCACTGCAATCCCAGAGGCTCTGCTGGAGAAGGGGGGGCAATCTCCTCCTGTACCAGTCAGATCTGATCTGATGGTACACACATACAAAATAGTAAATTTTTTTTTAAAAAAGGGATGCTAGTTGTGTCTCTAGCATTATGCTATCCAATATGATAGCTGCTAAACATGAGTTTAAATTCATTTAAATTAAAATTTCAGTTCTTCAGTTACTCTGGCCATATTCCTCCCCCTCATTTTTGGGGGGGATAGCATGCACACAGTCTCCCACTACCAGAAATTATGCAGTTGAGTTTTCTACACTTGGGAACTCATAGGGTCAGCATACACAGAACTCAAAGGATGAGCCTTGCCCTGAGAAAAACACCTTTGTGACCATGGTATTTTCTTTGCCAGTTAACTACCTGGCATAGGAGGAAACTGACCCTCTTTCTCCAGCAGAGCGTCTGGTGGATTTAAACTGAGTGCCTTTGGGATTACGGCCCAGCTTCTTGCCACTAGGCCACCAGAGCTCCCTCATCTATACACTTCTATCATTCCAGAAAGTTCTATTGGAAAACCCTGCTTTAAAAGATTAAGAAAAATACAGATCTTTTCCTTTCCAAAAGATTAGGATGATCCCAATCCCACCTCAAATGAGTATGCTTTTGCCTTCAAATATTCAACCATTAGCTCAACTAATAAAGGCACTGCCACCGTCCATTGTTTTTTACAGACTAAGTATGATTCAGCATTCAGGATCTTAATAGAAAGTACTAGGACAGTCTTGAGCAACAGGTAACACAGCTCTTTGGTTGAATATACCTCTGAATACATCTCTTTCCGTCACTAAATGAGAAGGTAAGGTTGTTTTGTTTTGTTTTTCAGTCTGCCTAATCCAGAGAGCAACCAGTCCCATGCCCTTAATCCCAAGGAAGTAAAAAGGCAAAAGCTAGCCATCAACCAAAAAGTACCTACCCCGAAGGTCCCGTGGCTGCAGGAATGAAGGCTGCCCTGGAGTCCAATTCTGTTCTGTTATACTTAACTGTGCCACATCCTGCTCAAGTCCACTGGTGGTAGAATCCACTGGAGTTTCCCAGTTTCCAGTCTTGGCAGGCGGGGTAGGGGTAGTTTCTGGGACTGAAGGTGCTGGGATCAAGCACTCAGGTGGAGGAGGCATCTCTTCTGCAATCTTGACAGCATCTCCAGCTTTGGTTCTAGTTCTTCTCGCCCGAGAATAGGATTTCTTTTCTATGGGCCTATCAGGGGCTGCTGGTACAGTGTCAGCTGCAGGAGCTGGCGTCTCTGAGGCTGCTGCTTCTTTCTCAGGACTGCCATGGACTTGAGTATCTGCTTCCGGGGATGGATCTCTCACAGGAGTCTGCTCCATTCGTCTTGACCAGTAACTAGTCTCATGCTTAACAGTCTCATCTGAACGTTCACTATGTGGCCCACCAGCCTCCACAGGCCTGAAACCAGCACGACCTTCCCTGAAGCCTCCAGATCGAGAGTAATTCCTGGGTGTAGACATGCGGCCAGTACCTGCAGCATTCCTGTTAATAAATGTTCTTGGTGGTAAAGTACCACCAGGACCCTGGTGGCGATGAGATTTGTTTGGTCGCTCACCAATCCAGTTTGGATCTCTTTGTGGAGGACTCCCAAACCTACAAAAACAGACAAAAAAGTCTTAGTAACAAAAGGGTCCATTAGAGATACAAACTCTCAAAACTCAAGTCAAGTAGGAACCCACTCATAGTTGACCCTCCAATAGGTTTTCTAAGGCTGTAAAATCAATGGAGGAGATTGTCCATTTTTGTCCCACAGAACCCCCAGAGAGGCACCATATTTGAATGAGCAGATAAAAATTGAGGGTTAAAGAGTGTCATATCCTTCAACCATTCAATTAATGCAATGATAAAGGCAGGGAGTTCTAAGAAGATCAGTAGTCTAGGTATAAAAATTTCTTTACCTGGGTTTCCGAATTCTTCTGGGTTTGATATCATCAGGATTGTGAGCTGAGCGAATGTCATAGCCATAAAGTGCAATGAGCTCTTGTCGGGACTTTGGAGCCTGCTCATCTTCCCGGAACTTGTCATGCTCCCAACGACCCTCATCTTTCCATAGCTTTCGCTGACGTCCCTTGGGTCTGAACAAAACCAAGGACAAAAGGTTGGCAGGTGCTGCCAAGTAAAGATATTTATAAAACAAATCAACCCAGGAAGACACTGGTAACCCTGTGTACTTTCTCCATCTTCTCAGTAAGATTATAAAAAAACTTGCCTCCCCAAAGCAAGAGTGAATCATAATAACCCCAAGCTTGATAGATTAAAATATAATGAGAATACAAGTATTTGGTATTTTCTATAAGGTAGTATATGGAAGTACTTCGTATCTTTGAAGCTCTGAGCTTTGTATTATAGAAAATAATCAAAATGTGAGTTACATGACAGCAGACTCTAGACAGAGATTGCCAGGATATGGATCCTAGCTCCTCCACCATGAGTTACCAAATAGTCTAAACTTTCTATTTTCCTCATCTGTATAAGAAAAAGAATCACAATATGGACTTCAAAAAGTTTTGAGTAGAAATGAATTAATACAGGTTAAGTTTAATACCTAGGGCACACAGTATTTGCAGCAGCAAACGGTGATTACCTGACTTCTTCTTCCTGAGTTTGTCCTCGAAGATCATGCTCAAAAAAGAGCCCTTTCCGGGGTATGTATGCTGGATTCTTCCGATCTTCATCATCATCCAAATGCTTAGGGCCCTTCTTACCCACTTTGTTCTCTACAGGCTCTGTGCTCTCCTGGAGAAAAAAGAAAAGGCTCCTAAGTCCATCCAAGCTGGAAGGGCCTTATTCTAGCTCTGATGGAACACTAGTGACACACTACAAGCATCAGGCTGCTAACTTAAAGGTCACCAGCTGGAATCGACAAGTTGCTCCAGGAGAGAGAAAGCCTCAGAAACCCAACAGAGTTGCTATGAGTCGGAAGTGACTCCAGGGCAGTGAGTCTTGTCTTTCAGCTTGAAAGCACAGGCCTTTGGTGTACACTGACCTGTCCATCCCCACTTTGCCTCTCTCCAGTGACAGTGCCTTTGTTATCAGATTTTTCTTCTCCCTTCTCTTCTTTTGCTGAAGAATTAGCAGCATCATTGGCTTCTGATTTCAGGTCTACTTTGGAGTTTTCATCTTCACTGTATTCCCCTTCTTCACCCTGAAAGAAAGTTTCCATGCTAACTGAGAAAGCAAGATCTGAAGAGTCTATTTTAATTTTCCATTATTTAGGAAAACATTTTCCTGATAATATTTTTTTCTTGTTGTGTGCCATGCAGTCAGATCTGACTAGCGCAGGAGGGAACTGCCCATCCTTCAGGGGAGCATCTGGTGGATTTGAACCATGTGCCTTTGTGATTGCAGTGCAGTTTCTTGTCACTAAGCCACCAGAACTCCCTATCCTGACAAATTTTTACAACAACCCAATATTTTTAACAACTCAAATATTAAAAGCAAATGTATTATTTTTACTCATGTTTTCAGAAGGGTGCTCTTTTAAAAAACCTCTTTAAAAAGCAATAAAATAAAATAATTTTTAAAAAATCTATACACCCCAGTAAGAATAGCAAAATTTAAGAGAACAGCAAACAACAAATGCTGGCAAGGTTGTGGAGAAACTGGAACCTTTATTCACTGTTGGTGGGAGTATTAAATGGTACAACCACTATGGAAGGCAGTATGACGCTTTCTCAAAAAGCTGGAAATGGAATACCATTTGACCCAGCAATTCCACTACTGGCAATATAACCTAAAGAAACCAGATCTGCCAACCAAGAAGATATATGCTCACCCATGTTTATTGAAGCTTTGTTCACAATAGCAAAGAGTTGGAAACAACCCAAGTGCACATCAAAAAATGAATGGCTGGAGCAGCTATGGTATATTCACACAATGATATACTTACTATGTTGCACTGAAAAACAAGGAACGCATGAAATAGTATACAAAATGGTTGACCCTGGAGGACATTATGCTGACTGAACCATCTCAGTCACAAAAGGACAAATACTGCACAGTGCCACTGTTGTAAAGCAAGACTGTCATTGGAGATGGGGGGAAACTAAAAGGCGATAAATACAGTATACTGCATTAAAGCATATGAGGAAGAAAACTGTTTAGGCGGAATGTATGATTAGGTATTACTGTCATGACAAGAGTCCAGAATGAAAGCTACATAGTGAAGTGGACTGGGGGGCAGGGAATAATATAACAATGAAATAATTTTTTTTTAACTTTTCAAAGAGAAAAGCAAACTGGAGGGAAGGAGTGGGCAGGGAGGAAAGTGTGCAACTGTGAATGAATGGAAATCCAAAGTCTCTATAAATTTTCATTAAAATAAATTAAAAAAAATTTATAATGTACACATTTACATATAGACTATATATATAGCTAGAAAGCTATATAAGGTCAATAGTTCCATAGTCAACAGAACTATCTTTTAAGTTATGACTATTATATTTCATAAAGCATGAGATTCCTTTGGCCAACAACTCTGTTCAACCACTGAATATTAGAAACACTAAAAAAAACTAAAGCCCAAGTGCTCTCTTCTTCTCTTTACCATCTCATTTTTTCTCCTACTTTGCCAAATCAAGACTGGACAATCCTAGGGAGGCTCTGATGGCCTAGTGGCAAGAAGCTGCACGGCAATCCCGAAGGCGCACAGTTTGAAGGAGGGGCAATCTCCTCCTATGCCAGTTGGATCCAATTTGATGGTACACACAAGAAAAAAAAAGACTGGACAATCTTGTTTGCAACAGAAGCAATATCAGGTTTGTCTACATGTAAACAGGGTCATCAGGCTATCCTCTTAATAAGGAACACTACTGTCAGATATGTATGTTATTGTTGTTGTGTGCCGTCAAGTTGGAAGATTCATAGTTGACACTCCAGTGGGTTTTCAGAGCCAGTAAAGTACATGGGAGGAGATTTGAATGGTGTCTTTAGGACTGCAGTACAGCTTCTTACCACTAGAGCTCCCTATAAATAAGTATGGCTAGCTTTATTAATACATGTCAAGAAGACAAAGATTCTCACCACTGGACCAATTGGCAGCATCAGGATGGATGGTGAAGAGATTGAGATTGTTCACAGCTTTAGTTTGCTTGGCTCCACAGTCAACATTCTTGCCAACAACAGCCAGGAAATTAAAAAGACGTATTGCCATGGGAAAATCTGCTGTTAGGGACCTCTCCAAAGTACTGAAGAGCAATGGTGTCTCTCTGGAGACTAAGGTGCGTCTGATACAGGCCATGATCTTTGCAATCACTTGTTATGCATCAGAGAGCTGGACAGTGACTAAGGAGAATAGGAGAATTGATGCCTTTGAGCTGTGGTGCTGGAGAAGAGTATTGAGGGTCCCATGGACTGCTAGGAAAACAAACAGATTCATCTTGGAAAGGGTTAAACCGTGCAGTTCTCTGGAGGCAAGGATTCTGAGGCTTCGTCTAACATACTTTGGACATGTTGTAAGGAGGGACCAGTCCTTGGAGAGGGACATCATGCTTGGTAGGGTGGAGGAACAGCGCAGAAGGGGAAGGCCCTCTATGAGGAGGACTGATTCAGTAACTGGGGTAATCTGGATGGGTGTATCAGAGACAGTGTGACTGGTACAGGACAGAGCAGAGTTTAGGGCTGTTGTACATAGGGTCGCTATGAGTCGCAAGTGACTCAATAGCACATAACAACAGCTTTATTAAAGAAAAAGCTAACAAAAAGATTAGAGGTACAGGGTTCAGATATTGGTTCAAAAACACAAAAGAAATAGGTTTAAGGGAAAGTGATTAGTTCATATTGCTGCCTTAACATGTCAAACACATCTGTCCAGCCTGGTAGATAACATGCACAGATCTCTCTTTCTCCTACTGGGACCAATCTGTGCTCAAACCACAATGCTAACAACTTCAAAGGCAGGATGGCCCCAAGAATTAGGTCTAAGAGACTTACTAGGATACTCCTGATTAAATGAGAAGCTCCCAAATTCTGTTCCTGCTCTTTCCAGTGTTCTCTGAATTGAGCTGGGCTATCTCACCAACCCAGACAAAAGTCTCTTTCTCCTTTTCCTTGCTTTCCACCTGGGTGTTTTGGGTTAAAATTCCCAGAAAGGCAAAACCACAGAACTGAGGAAGAATGCATAACCAAAATACCATACTATAAAAATGAAACATCGACATACACCTTTCTATTGAATACCCTCAATTCTTCCTATTTTCCTCCATTATATGTTTTTCCTCCTCCAAAATGACAAACACTGGGTAAGCACAGTTTGTTCCTTGAACCTATGTCCCCTGAAGGTTTTAAAGCAGAAATTATAAAAATCTCATGTGGTGTATATATATGACATTAACTATCCTTCACAAATGTGCACTGACTGAATTAAGACAAAGTAGTAGAAGAACTATTAAGAAAAGAACTTTGTGTTACAGTCCACCCCTTCCAGTCTGTGAGAACTATTAAATGAGGCAACTCTTTTATTCTAAATGAGAAAACAATTTTGTTTCCAAGACAGTACAGAAAGATACAAATTGTGTAAAACTGAAGAGACTCCAAATTAGTCCAAGTCTGATCTAACTTAAGTCAAGTACTATCCTAAGGTCACAAAGCTGTGGCTAAAGCAAAATCTTTTGCTACAAGAGACAAACTCCCTATAATGAACTCTCCTTAAAACTCTAAGGCCCTAGGAGAGCTCTGGTGGCCTAGTGGCAAGAAGGTGTACTGCAATCCCAGAGGTGCACGGTTCAAATCCACCAGATGCTCTGCTGGAGAAGGAGGAACAATCTCCTCCTGTACTGGTCAGATGTGATTTGATGGTACACACACACACACAAAATAATAAAATAAAAATTTAAAACAACAACAACAAAAAACCAAAAAAACCCCTAAGGCCCAGGAAACAGCTTCCCCTGCAGACTTAACAAGTGGAGGTTTTAGCTCATTCTCTCACTTTCCCCATTATCTTCAGACTAAGACATGGGGTTGGTGTCTTTCTCCTTAAAAGTCTCTTCCAGTCTTATTTAAAGCCCTGTTCTTCTGAGGCACCTGTCACACAGCTGTATCTCCTGGTCTCACCTGTCACTGAATATTTTAACACTGAGCTCATCTTCTTTTCAGTCAGTTATTTTCAGGGCCACACTTTGCACCATAAGTCAGTCCCGGGAGTGATTTTATTCCTTCCTCCCCCCACCACCACCTATTTTCCAAGTAAATATGTTCTATTTTTACAACTTTAAGTTTAAATACCTTAATACGTCTGCTATCAAGTACCTCATAATGTGCAAAAGAGTAAGAATGTCACTTTAAAGACTAAAGGACACCCTGATGCTTCCTATGTATCTAAAAGTTGGGCAATGAATAATTAAGTCTGAAGAAAAACTGATGCCTGAATTGTTGTGCTGGTGAAGAGTACTGACTATCCCATGGGCAGCCAAAATAAAAAACAAATCCATCTCTGAAGAGGTGCAACCAGAGCACTCCTTGGGAGTGAGGATGGTGCAACTTTGTCTCACATGTCTTGAGCATATTGTGAGGAAGAGCCAATCCTTGGAGAAAGACATCATGCTGGGAAAGGTAGAGGGTCAATGAAAAAGAAAGACTAACAGAGTGACTACCACAACGGGCTCGAGTACAAAGGAGATTGCGATGATGCTACAGGAGAGGGCAAGGTTCCAATCTGTTGTTCACAGGGATGCTGAGAGTCATAGTTAACCGAGTGGCACCTAATAGTAATAACAAATAATAATAAAATAAATAAAGGGCTCTTGATGGCACCACTATTAAGTGCTAAGCTGCTGAAGGCTAATGGTTCAAATTCATCCAGCAGCTCCATGTGAGAAAAGCTTGGTGATCTGCTCCTGTAAAGATGAATACCAAGGAATAGCCTAAGGGGCAGCTTTACTGTGATGTGGGGTCTCTGTAACTTGAAAGTCAACTCTATGTAACATCTAACCACAATAGACCTTGATCAAAACGGTCTAGTATCCCCATTTTCACTCAGTTACTCTATTTACTCTATCTTCAACTTAAGACATCCACTTCTTTGGCTTTTCCTTTCTCCACTGTAGACTCCATGGTTCATGGATTTCAATCACTAGTAATATCATTTCTTTTCTTGCCATACACATGCCAAGCCCCAGATCAACTCAAGTATCTACTTTTCCTAGC